AGGCAAGAGAAATACATGGAAGAGGAAACAGATTCACAAAATACTAGCAGGCTTATGAAAAGAATTGGATTTTGGAGGTCATCAAGTAGAAAGGTCTATAGTAACCCCATAATGTGAAGGAAGATTCCATTAATAATGTAAAAAACATGAAAGTTAGTGTTTTGTGGTTTGTTTTTATTATTGTTATTGTTATTTTAGGAATTGCAGGCTATCCTCATATCCTTACTTCCCTCCTGATTCAGCTTGGATTCCATGGTTCATCATAATTTAACTCTCCACACACATTCAATAACCTTGCCCTCTCTGGCTTTTTTCCTACTTGCCGGGCAAAACCCTAATGAGACCAGTTAGGAAGTTACTGAAATAACCCAGTAGAAAGAAGATGATGGTTTGAACGGGGATGATGGGAGTGTGAGAGTAAATTTATTTTGATTGTAGAACTGACAGGGTTTGCTGACAAACTGGATATAGGATTTAAGAGAAAGAGAGGGATTAAAGACATCACCAAGATTTTAGTCCTAAATGACCGGAAAAATGGAGTGTCCATGGAGGAAGATTAAAGAGGATCTGGTTGTGGGGAAACAGGGAAAATGTTCAAATGGAATCTTAGATTAGGGATGCATCAGCATACAGATGATTTTTAAAGGCATGATACTAGATAAGATCACTTAGAAAGAAAATGGAAATAAAAAATTGAAGAGGTCCAGGAACTTAGCCTTTGGGCACTCCCAAATTTAGAGACTGGGGAGATGAAGAAGGAACCAGGAAAAGAGACAGAGAAGGAATGGAAGATAGGAGAAAAACCAACCAAGTGTAATGGACAGAAAGCCAAGTGGGAAAAAAAAAAAACAAAAACTGTTTCGAAGAGAAGAAAGAGATTAGTTGAGACATGTGTAATGGGTCAAATAAATGAGAACTGAGAAATCACCATTAGTCACCAATTTTGATATTACCAGTGAAGTTGTGAAGAGAAGCTGTGGTAGAATGGTGGGTGTAAAAACAAGGTGAGATGAAGAGATAATGAAGAGATAAATGGGAGATTGTCCATACAATTAACTGCTTCAAGGAGTTTACTGGAAAACATAAACGTAGAATGTCATGCTTTCTCTCTGCCACCTATCTAAACAATACATTTTTTCAAAGCCAAATGTGTCTTACTTCTTCCTTGAAGACTTCCTAGACCAGTCCAGCCTATTCTGAAATCCTACCATATTTACATGTTGTCATGCAACTTAGCATGGAATGTATTAAGACTTTAGTACATAGTTTTCTAAGTGTTATACGTTAAGTCTTGTTTTCCCTGCAAGGTCTTAATATTCTTGACAATTATCCTACAGTTCCCCAACTGCACACCAAGTTACCCTGGAGTGTCACAGTGAGCTCACAGAGGCACTGTAGGATATTTTTAATTTTTTTATGGGGGTAAACTATAGGTACGATTTACCATTTTAACTATTTTAAATTTTACAGTTCAGTGGCATTAAGTATCTTCATGATGTTGTACAACCCTCAGAACTACCTAGTTCCAGAACTTTTTATCATCCCAAACAAAAACCCCATAGCCATTAAGCAGTCATTTTCCATTCCCCTCTCCTCCCAGCCCCTGGCAACCACAAATCTACTTTCTGTCTTTATGGATGTGCCTATTCTGGATATTTCATATACATGGAATCACACAGTAAGTGGCAGTTTGTGTTTGGCTTCTTTTACTTAGTAGGGTATTTTCAAGGTTCATCCATATTGTAACATATATCAGTATTTCATTCCTTTTTGTGGCTGAATGTTATTCCATTTTATGAATATACCGAATTTTGTTTATCCATTCATCCATTGATGGGAATTTGGGTTGTTCCTACCCTTTGGCTATTGTGAATAATCTGCAATGAACATTCATGTACAGTTTTTGTTTGAACACCTGTTTTCAATTCTTTTGGGCATATACGTAGGAGTAGAATTGTTGTTGTTGTTAGGTGACATCGAGTCAGCTTTGACTCATAGCAACCCCATGCGCAACAGAACAAAACATTGCCCGGTCTTGTGCCGTCTTCATGGTCATTGTTGTGCTTGAGTGCATTGTTGCAGCGACTGTGTCAATTCATCTAGTTGAGGGTCCTCCTCTTTTTTGCTGACCCTCCACTTTACCAAGGATAATGTCTCGAGGGACTGGACCCTCCTGATAACATGTCCTGATAAAATACGAGATGAAGTCTCGCCATCCTCGCTTCTAAGGAGCATTCTGGCTGTACTTCTTCCAAGACAGATTTGTTCATTCTTTTGGCAGTCCATAATATATTCAATATTCTTTGCCAACATCACAACTCAAAGCGTCAATTCTTCTTCAGTATTCCTTATTCATTGTCCAGCTTTTGCAAGCATATGAGGTGATTGCAAATACCATTGGTTGAGTCAGGTGCACCTTAATCTTTCAAGTGACAGCTTTGCTTTTTAACATTTTAAAGGGGTCTTTTGCAGCAGGTTTGCCCAATGCAATGCACCACTTGATTTCTTGACTGCTGCTTTTATGGGCATTGATTGTGGATCCAAGTAAAATGAAATCCTTGATGACTTCAATCTTTTCTCGATTTATCATGATGTTAGGAGTAGAATTGGTAGGTTATAATGTTTAATATTTTGAAGAACCACCAAACTGTACTGCACAACAGCTGCACCATTTTACATTCCCACCGGCAATGTATGGGGGTTCCAATTTTTCCACATCCTCACCAGCACTTGTATTTTTGTTTGTTTGTTTGTTTTATGGTCATCCTAGTTGGTGTCATGTGGTATCTCATTACAGTTTTGATTTGCATTTCCCTAATGATTAATGAATACAGAAGACCAAAGAAGAATGGATGCATTTGAATTATGGTGTTGGTGAGGAATACTGAATATACCATGGACTGTCAGAAGAATGAACAAATCTGTGTTGGAAGAAGTATAGCCAGAATGCTCCTTAGAAACAAGGATGGCGAGACTTTGTCTCATGTGCTTTGGACGTGTTATCAGGAAGGGTCAGTACCTGGAGAAGGACATCATGCTTGGTAAAGAAGAGGGTCAACGAAAAAGAGGAAGACCCTCAATGAGATGGAACGACATAGCGGCTGTAACAATGGGCTCAAGCATAACAACGACTGTGAGAATAGCACAGGACCGGGCAGTGTTTTGTACTGTTGCACATAGGGTTGCTATGAGTTGGAATCCACTCGACAGCACCTAACAATAACAATGACTAACAATGTTCAGCATTTAAATATCTTCTTTGAAGTAATGTCTGTTCAAGTCCTTTGCCAATTTTCTTTAAATTGGGTTGTTTCTCTTTTTGTTGTGGAGTTGTAAGGGTTCTTTGTATATTCTGAATACTATACCCGTCTCAGATATGTGATCTGCAATATTTTCTTCCATTCTGTGGATTGTCTTCACTCTCTTGATGGTGTCCTTTGATGCACAAAAATTCTAATTTTGATGAAGTCCAATATATTTATTTTTTATTTTGTTGCTTGTGCTTTTGGTGTCATATCATTAAGTCCAAGGTCATAAAGATTTACCCCTATGTTTTCATCTAAAAGTTTTATATTTTTAGCTCTTATATTTAGTTCTTTGATCCATTTTGAGTTAATTTTTGTATATGGTGAAGGTAAGCATCCAACTTTGTTCTTCTGCATGTAGAAATCCAGTTCACTCAGCACCACTTGTTTGTGAGACTATTTCTTCACTGAACTGTCTTGACATTCTTGTCAAAATCAATGGGTTTATTTCTGGACTCTCAATCCTGTATCATTGTTCTATTATGTCTATCCTTATGTCAGTACCACACTGTCTAGATTACTGTAGCTTTGTAATAAGTTCTGAAATTGGGAAGTGTGAGTCTTCCAACTTGGTCTTCTTTTTCAAGATTGTTTTGGCTATTCAGGGTCCCTTGAAATTCATATGAATCGTCTTTTACATTTCCTCAAAAAAGACCATTGCGCTTTTGGTAGAGAGTTCACTGAATCTTTAAATCACTTTAGGAGTACTGTCATCTTAAAAATATTAAGTCTTCCAATCCATGAACTCAGGATGTCTTTCCATTTATTTAAGTTTTCTTTAACTTCTTTCCATAGTGTTTTGCAGTTTTCAGTGTACAAGTCTTGCACCTCTTTGGTGATATTTTTAATTTGATGAAAACATAGTGATACTTGACATCTGTCTGATACTATAAAAACTACTAGTTCAAGATAATTTATAGTTTCAACAAGAGATCATGCTATACTCCTTAGTAATGTCATATATTTGCAAAGCTGGGGTTTTAGCAGTTGCTGTGATAAGAAGCAAGTGCCATGTGAAAATCAATATGGGAAAGAAAGTGAGGTGAGGGCAGCAGTATCCTAATGATTCCAAGGTTTGAGAGATAGCGCAGTGCTCTAAGAGTGAACATATCCCATTATTAACTAATTTTGGTTCATTAAGAATAAATTTTTTAATTCAATTTATGTGAACTACTCTTTCAAGCAGCCATTAAGTTGGTAGGAAATAAACACCTATTAAGTTGTTTAGACCTAAATACTTAATAAATGGATCTGTCAGGTATTTTTAGTGGCCTAGAAGTGCTGTGAAAACACTGTAAAATACTAAGGGTGCAGTGAACAAAAAACGTTTGGGAACCTCTTAGTTGGCCACTTGTTGATTGACCAATGATGTGCCATGTATGAAAAAGAAATTCAATGAAAACTTTCTGTATGGATTTCTACAACCACTTACTAACTCTTACCTAGATAAGTGGTCTATCATCACTTGCTCAGCAACAGTCTGCTTCTTCCTCTCTGCGGCCACAATTTCCTGAGATAAGAAAATAAAAAAAGAAAATCTCATTTTTCATAAAGCAGAAGAACAAACCAATGCTTAACACAGGAGTCTTGAAACATAAACATTTCCTATTTCCATCTTGAATATACATCATTATATCTT